CTGGCGCCCAGCTACGTGTCTGCGTTTGCTTTTATAGACGGATGCGCCTGGGATCCTCCCGTCGTCCTCGCACGCCCAGAGCGCGCGCTCCAGGTGCGCGAAGCTCCTCTACCGGGGAGGGATCTGTTAAGTCCGGCGGCGGATCTCACATCCCAGTTCCTTCCCGAGGAAGAATTGTGTTTATTTTAAAGCATGATCAACATTACTAGTAGTTGGCAGAGCGAGGAGGAGGGCTACCGGGAGCTAAGCAGGCTGGGCGCCCGTGCAGGGATCCCGCCGCTGCTGAAAACGGAATCTTCCCACAGCTCAGGGAGGTTGCGTTTGTAGCGGGACGACTGACCTTGCACTGGAACGAGTATGGAGCGAGGCAGGGACTGGAAGTCGTTATGCAGTAAAGCTTGCCATGGCAGACCGAGGAGGTACCACTCAAGATCGTGAGGCCCACCTCGTATGACACTGCCAGATGCCAGTTTTGGGATACCTCTGTCAGCCTCCTGCCAGGACCACGTGATGCCTGGCTTTTCTCACGCCGGCCGGAGGCTGGCCGCTTGCAAGGCAACAACACATCTAGTGTCTGTTCGGGAGCCAGGCAAGAACAGGGAGGCGGCGAGCCAGGCAGGATCTGGCCAGCCGGGCTACCAGCTGGAACATCAGGGAAGGTCTAGGGTGACAAAGACCTGAACGCTTGTGTAAGTTTCATGCAGTAGTCCAGTGCTTAGACCTGGCTGATGGCCCTTATTTGTCTGGAGGAATATGAAGCTGATGTTAAGAGAGAAGGAATCGCAAACTCCATCCATCGCTTGGTATAAGATAGCCTGGCTTTAAGTGAAGTCAAGACGACTGTCACAAGTGCTCTGTAGTCTTTCGTTTACGGTACTGATCTGGTAGGAGTAAAGACTTCGATCCTAGTTTCTGCTCCAATCAATATCTAATTATTGCACACACAAAATGTGCCAATGTTTATTTTTACTTTCTTATGTGCCAGTTGGGAGTTGTAAATCTGCTAGTAAATCTAGACCTAGGTCTCACACTTACCAGCAGGAAATATGTATGCCTCACCTTATGCATACAAGCACTCTGACGTCTGAAGTTAATGTATGCATCTTTAATTAAAAGATTTGGAACTTAATCATAGTTACCATGCAGTATTTCCTAGAAAACAAATAATCCTGTGTTTTTTTGACATTCATTGGTTCAAACTGCAGTCTCAAATGTAATAAATAAGAGAAGATAATAAACTGATAATAATCAGTTGATTTTTATATAGGATGTTTAAATAATGCATTTCTATAAGCCATCTGTAGCAAACTTACTTTGTTCCTCTTCTAATTGCTTACACTAATTTTAATCAGAAGTCTGAAAGTAAACACCCCTATATTCATGGTAACATTCTTCCTTAGGTTCCAATTTCTTATTTACTGGTATTTGTATTTCAAATACATTCTGTGTGTGTATACACACATGCATAGGTGCAATGCACGATGGGATAATGTGGCATGGAAGCTGCAGGTTTTGTATTGCTGTACGTATTTGGGATTGTAAAATGTAGTCTAAAATAAAGGTTAAAGGTCGTCTTTACCCACAGATATAAACGTGCACATACATCAGTAAATTAAAAAGGCAAAAGTTTTACTTTGCTTTCACAGATCAAATGTTTTATATGATGCTGTTAAATAAATAAACAAACCAGTAAGATGCCATTCATACCATGTAATGTTTAGAAAATCAATAAACTGGAGCCTCAATTAAAAACATAAAGGAGAAACTGAACTGAAGCCAAATGGAGACTGAAATATCAGCCAAACAATATTGTAATGATTCTTTTAACTTTTGACTCAAGAACAGAAACATCCTTTTCAAAAACAATTCATGTAACTTGTCACTTGGCTTCCACAGCTTTTTTTTTTGGAACAAGGGATATTCCTACACAATTTTTTGTGTTTATTAATAAGGGCCAGAAGGCCATGAAAACATGAAGATAACACTTTGACTCCCTCTCCCATGCCACATATAAGTGATTAACAAATGTGCAGATTAGTAGCAGGGTCATTTATTTATCACTTTCTTCCAATCACTCAAACAAAATAGGATTCTTTTGTGCTCTCAAGTAAGCTAGTTGACATTGTACTGATGTTTAAACTATTGTTTAAATGAAAACTGGAGCTAGAAATAGGCCATTTTTTAATGCGTACCTTTCGAGAGTGGTGTATCAGTATCTTCTCAGTGGAGAAAGTTAAAAACTGCAGTTACTTCCGGCCCAGCCAAATTTACTTTTTAAGTGGACTGCTGCAGCAATAATGTCTCATATGAAGGTAATAAAGTCTTTTACTCAGCAAGCAAGAAAACTGTTTATCAGTCATGAGGAAAACAAGTTGTGGTGTCTTTCATGATCTGAAAAGCAGTTGCATTTTCTGGGTGGTGCTCCAAGAAGCTCCTTTGCAGACACATGTCTACATCTGTTGTAATGGGCTGACAAAGAGCAACGTTCAGGATAGACTCTTTTCTTCATTTTCTGAAATAATTTCCATTAAAGATTCATAATCAGCATATTCTTTCAGAGTTTGTATCATTTCATCTAGCATTTCTTCCCCTAGCATGAAACACTCCATATGATGCACTGATCTGCTTATCCTGTGGTCAGTAATCCGGTCCTGTGGAAAGTTGTATGTTCTGATCTTCTCCGATCTTCCTTTAGTTCCAATCTATCAAACAAGAAGAATCAGTTTATCATCATTGTCTTTTTATAAAAAGGATGAAATGTTGATTAAGCATCTAAAGCAAAAGCTTTCTCTTCCTCCCCCACGACTATCCAAAATTTGTTATAGTTACATAGTACTCAGACCAGTTCAGTAGTTGCAGTAATTGTTCTCAAACGTAAAAGAACAATTTTACTGTATCTTTTTCCAATACTATTCTGGTTCTTCATGCTGTAATCCAGTTTGTTTCACTACATCTCTAGAATTTACATACTACTGAAACTTTAAGTCTGGCTAATATATGACCCTTATCGCTGAATTAAAATGTAATTTTTTTGCCTCATGTAAGTCCTTCCTGGGCTGCTGTTCCTCTGTATTTCCATTTACTATCTGCAGTTCAACACAGGAGTTACCCCGAGAACATAGGCTCGTACAGAATTATATCTTCACTAAGTGAAACTTACTTGAATCTTTCGAACACTGTTTCTCTTTTTGGTTTCTTCTTCCAGTTTGGCGTTGTATAGTTTAGCACATAGCATTTGCATAGCCTTCTCTTTGTTTCTAATTTGAGATCTTTCCTGCTGACATTCAGACACGATCCCTGCCAAAAATATCATGACATTTAACACTTAATAGTAACGCATACTAAAAGGGTTTTGCAATTTCTAGAAGAATTTTATTATGTTACAATAAGCTGTCTCTTTCTTCAATAAATATTTTGGACTGGGAATGTAAAAGTCCAGGCTTAATAATGTCTAATGATACATTTTGGGAGAGAAGTGCAGGCTGAGTTGTACAGGTGCTTTAAGCCATAAGACAAGAAATCTAATTCAGTATGTTGGACAACAGATAGATCATGAAATAAAAGATACGTGATGTGATCTGACTTACAGAAGACACATTTAATACTTGTAATTTTTGGCCACAGTTCCAGGAAATTTAGGATTTAAGGAGCAGTAAAATACACAAGGTAGTGAATATATAGCATATGATCAGAATATACAAAAGTGGGCACTATTTTCTTAAAAAAAGTGTGGTTTCTCCCCCCAAAACATACAATTCAAGTTAAGATGAGAAGTGAACAGCTTAAGAAAGGAGTAGGGAGAAGAAATACAGGAAGAAGACAGCACAAGCTAAGTTGTTATTTGGATTTATTTTAAGTAACTCTGGTAAGATTACAGTACGCCTTTATAAGATTACATAGTATTACTTTATGAAAGACTTGTTTACAAGCAACTTTTTGGATTGCAATGAAGGTTTATAGAAAGAGTTAGGATGAGAGATATAGAAGTTGTAACAGGACAATTGTAAAGGAAGAGAGATCAAGAGGAATGAAGAAGGGAAAGGTGGAATAGGAAAAAGTCAGGAGATATAAAACCCCCTATGAACCATCTCTAGTGCATAACCACAAAAAAAATTGCAATACATTTTAAGATTTCTGTAACAAACACTAATGACTGCCTTCAGCAAAAGCTAAGATCATTTGCTGGTTTCAGTTTGTGGGTTTTTTTTCCAAACATGCAGGCGATCCAAAACTTTTTGAATCTGGAGTACCTTTTTGTCACCGTATCTTGAACAGAATTCTATCCTCTCCACTGTTTACCTTCTGCTTTACTGAGGTGATGCAACAAATGCAGAATGGATTAATGTCTTCAATACATATGAAGAAACGGGTGGCAAAAATCTGGATACGTGAAGATAAAGAGCACTCGGGATTACCCTGAGGCTGTAAAGCCTGACTAATGTTTGTGGTAGAGAAGAGGAAAAGTTAAAAAGCAATGAAAGTCAAGGCAGCTGTTGTGGATTGCTCAAAGGGAAGTAAAAAGTTTAGGAATGGCAATTAAAAAAAGACACGATAGCTAAAATCAGGTAGCATTTGAGGGTATAATCTTATCCCTCCTACGTTTCCTAACCTGAGACCTGGGGCTGGGCCTCCTAATTATGTGTGTAATCTATGGGAAAGGAGCCAGCAGACAAATGGAAGCTGGCATCCTGAGCAGACTCTGCAATTAAAAGCAACATTTTAATATGGAAATAGAGCAATCTCGCTTTTGGAGATTAGTCAAGAAAAGGCAAATCATCAGATTTTAACCTACTCTGTTTTTCAGTTTCTTTTCCATTATGTGAAAGCTTAAATATAACTTTTTCACAGAAACTGATCTGGACGCTTTTAGAGTGTCATGCTTAACGGCAAAATGGATAGCTTACCTACTGAAGCCAGTAGTCTTCACTATTACAAATTGGAGTGGGCACAGGATGGTGCATTTAGGGTACTATAAACACACATGAAAACTATATGAAAACTCTGCTCTACTGTTGTCCAGGTTTGAAAATAAAACCATTGTTTCCAAAGAAATTCTGACAGCAGTTTTGCAATGTACATCTTGTTACTAAGGAAAAAGTGAAGCACCTGTTGGAATATGAACTATCCGTACAGCACTGTCTGTGGTATTGACATGCTGGCCTCCAGCTCCACTAGCTCGCTTTGTTTCTATCCGTAGATCTTTTGGATTAATTTGCAGCCTCATCTGTCGTGGGAGACAGAACACACCCCCCCCCGCAAAAAAAAAAGAACACATTTATGTCGTTTCTTTCTAGACAGATGTCAAACATGCATAGTTAGTTTATTTTATAAGGCACATTCAGGCAAGATCAAACTTTTTAAAGCTTATGAGTGGTAGCTCGCATCCACTTATAAACATATCAACAAATCCTTGTAGCCAGATTGGAATGTGACACGATGGAAGCCAGAAAATCAGACAAATAGTAGCTTAAGGCATAACCATCCCTTAGCACTAATCTTCCCCCTCTTCTGAAAGCTCTGCACCCTCTTCCAGCAGAGTTAACCAATATTTGAACTTGACCAGACGTTTTTTAGATAAAATGGAACATACTCCCTTTGCTGGCTCTGAAATAGGGCGATGGTCTCTGGGAGGAAGGAGCGAGACAGCTTTGGGAGAGAATAGGAAGGAGCAACATCTTTGACAATTTGCTAGGTCAACGTGAAACAAAGATCAAAACAAAGCTTTATTTCTTAGCCAGTTGTTTTTAACCAAGCACATATGGCAAGAATGAATTATCACCCGTACACTTTGGAAGGGGAAAGCGAGGACACTACAAAAATGGGGAAGAGGAGGTGCTAAAAGAAATCTCTATGAGCTCTGTAAACTAATTCAGTCTTCTGTTACTTTGTAAAAAATGTAAAGTTTTCCACAAAACATACAAGACAGTCACAGTGACTTTTCAAGTTCTAGTGAAGTAAACTGCCAGTGACTTTCTTGAGATTAGGATTATGAGGAAATCCAGAAATTCTTTATTTCACCCTCCTAGACAAAAATAAAAATAAACAAACAAATATGACTTAGTTTAAAACTAAGATTAAAAAAAAAAAATCATTAAAAGAGAATAACAAGAGAGACAGAAAACACTTGGGTATCAGCAATAGGGCATGTAAAAACATTGCTCATGGTAAAGTCTGTTATACGAAAAGATAAATATTACCTCGGTGGGCTGGGGTAGTATTGCAACAGTCATTGTGCTGGTGTGAATGCGTCCTTGTCTTTCCGTCTTTGGCACCCGCTGAACACGATGCACTCCTCCTTCAAATTTCATGTACTTGTAAGCCTCAAGACCTGCTATACTGGCAACTGCATGTCTTAGGCCACCTTAGATACAGAAGAAAAACAGTTGTAGAGCTGTAAGAAAAACTGTTGGTGCTATGCTGTTATATTTCAAACAGTGTATTCAGACATCATTGTCATTTGTTTCTTAAAATTATGAATCTACCATTTAAATACTTAGGCAGAATTATACCAAAAATGAAAGAAAACTCTTAAAAACAAAGCCAGACATACATACTCACACACTGTCTCAAGTAAAGGACTGTCAAATTCTTTTTTATAGAGTACAATTTAATTTTTTATATACATAAAAAGATTGCCTATGAACCATGTACATACATGTACCCATACAATCATAAACCGTAGTAGAACTCTAACACCAGCAGTAAGTTTACATAAAGATCAAATTTTGAAAGCCACCTTCAGAAACTACATAATTTTTTTTATTGTTAGTTCAGAACCTTATAATTCGATGGGAAAAACCCCAACTCTTTAATTAAAGGATGAGTATTATTCATACTCCTCTTCTTATCCATTTTCCTCCGTGCCTCGTCTTTGCTCTTTCATTTCATTTGAATCTTTTGCTCCCCTGGAGCAAGCAGAACTCCACTCCTGCCCCTCTTACCAATACATCCAGCAAAACATGTGACAGCAATGTACTAAAAACTAGCATTGAACAGCTCGGAACTTGGAAGTAAAGCCCAATACGACAATGGTTTCGTGACAGAAAGAGTTTGTTGCAATACTAGTTTATGGCATTCTTGCTCGTCCTTGTTTGCTAGCGTGCAAACCCTTCAGTTGTGCTACTATAACTGTTTGAAGGATCAGAGAAGTGATGGCACTATAAATTAATGTAGTTTTTCACCCATTTTGGTTTTTAATCCAGCTCAGTTCCAAGATCCCATTCTCAGCATGGTGGATGGTGTGCCAAGGGAATGATTAAAGAGGAGATAGGCGGCCTTGAAAGAGTATTGCTGTTGAAGTCTTGCAACATGAAACCACAGCCGAGGAAAAGAAGAGGCACATACTTCTCAGAAATACTGTTCTAGGCTATCTCTAGACTAAGGAAATCAACCATAGGGACAAGGTAGCAGCTTTTTTAAAAAAGGAAAATTAAGACAACGTAGAATCTGAAAATGCCCTGCAGAGCAGGAAAAAATCATCAGCCAGAACGTAGGCCAGGTTTTTCACCTCCACAGAGAAGGTTTGCAAATGTTTTTATTCTACAGAAATTTAACATTTCCTCATAACTTTACTAAAACATATTTCCTTTTACAGTCACGTTTGTGGAAAATAGCCTAAACTGCCTCTTCCTTTCTCTTTCATCTCATTTTTGTCCTTCTGACTTTTAAAATTTTTCTCCTACTTGTACAAATCTGTACCACTTTGATTCAAATGCACTGTTCAACATACCTAGTGCCTCACTGATTTAATTTATAGCCACTATCTACTATCAATTCTGTAAGATAAATCTGTCATGTTTAGAATAAATCTCACCACAAAGCATGTGGTTTAACAAATAAGAATATCTGTCAAAATCTTCAGTTTAGATCAATACGTTTCATTCTAACAGGTAGTGTGAAGTCTTTCTACTGCTATGCAAACGCTATTCAAATGAACAAAAGATTTCTTCCTTTACTCTAAAAGAATCTTATATAACCTAAAATAATTAATGTAGTTGAGTAATAAAACTTACTACTTTACATATAAAAGCAAGTACTAAAAAAATCATAAGCAACCTCTGCACACGAGGAAGAAGCCAGGCTATGTCAGGAGTAAAAACAATGCGAATGTCCACAAGGCTACAGCACTACTGATGCCTATTAATTACGTGATAAGCAGTTCATTGCGAAAGCTAATGTTCTGCCTTTTCTCCCTCACTTCTCCTGGCATTAATATATATACCACAGGTACAGCCTGTCTCTTTGAGCTGCAGCCACATCTGTGACACGTTCAGGAGAGTTTAAAGTTTGTAGTGACAAAGGTATGCCTGTGGCACCATAGTGCTTAGCATGAGATGACCAAGAAACTGGTTCAAAAGACAGGTATTTAGGTCATACTGCTTCAAATCAACTATTACCAACACAGGTTTAATATGAAATGCAGCCAAACCCAATGAAATCTCAACAAACCCTTTACCCTGGCAGACATGTCATAGGCCTGTCAGATATAGTTAGCTCTTACTAGCTATATGCTTGCCCCTTTCAATTAAAGGTCCCTCTCTATCCTGAAAGCTGATGCGCACAGAACAAGGGTGTGAGTTTGCACTCATTTTTTATGTGGCATCTCATACTAAATTGAGACAAAGTCCCATATCTGTGTCTCTGCCTGCCACTACAGGGTGAGAGGCAGTGGATAAATAATGACGTGGGTTTGTGCTTTAACGTGTGTGCTAAATCTTGAACGTGCTATTTTTGCACAGTGGCATCCCTTGCGGTAGGTCAATAAAGTCAGTTAAGAGTGGACTGAAACCAATTCTTGATTGTAGCTTTGTTTAACATTCACCTTGTTCACACATGCTCACATTCAGATTTCAGCCAAATTCTGGAGCTCTCTGAAATGAGGAAGTATGACGTTTTAATGTAGGACCTTGCTTCTGCTCATGCAGTCCATAAAAATGGAGCGTGGATGGGATGCAACAGCCTAGTGCCACCAGCAAGCATCCCTAACTCCATTCTTACTCAGCACAGCACAGATACTTTGAACCTGAGGGTTCAAACATGCCTTTCAGTGGCAGTGCCATCTATAGTACCTCTACCTCCCAATTTTTTTCTAGCTCCTCAGTTTTGATAATACGTGGTCATGCAAGCTAAGATCAGAAAAATACTGCAAGAGGCTGACAAAGGCTAGGGCTGCCTTTATTTTTCTCTAAATTTAAATCCTACCTTCCTAAACATTCATTTCAGTGCACAGTCAAGCCCTCAGCAAGACAAAAGAGTTTAAAATAAATATATATCCATTAAAAACCTAGCAGTTTCAAAGAGAAAATACAGCTAATATATATAAGGTTAACGTATTACTTCAATTTCCCATTTAAGGCATTAAAGAGAATGCCTCTGAGGGTGCGGTCTCCTTGTCCAAGGACTGAGCTTTCACCAAAAGGGTAGTCAAGCACAGCTGCCTTTCTCTTCCAATTACAGGACTGCAAGTTGAGTCAGACCTGACTTAAACTATCCAGTAACAGAGAGTTTTTAAGCCAAATCAGTGGATTGATCCAATTAACACTGTGGCCTCAAAATTGCTAGAGCTGAGAGTGAGAAGGAACATACAGCTGGCAGGAAGGTGGGACAGCCCTTGTTTAAGCTGACTGAAACAGGGCTCTGAAGGTGAAGTTGTATGTGACTGCTGGGGTTTAGCCCATCTAAGTCTTGCCTCAACGGAAAGGGCAACTCTCCTCTCCTCCTAGTACATGAAATAAAGAAGACCGAGACACTTCCTCCATTCTCTTTACACCCATCTAACCTGCACCATGTTTATTCCATTTACTTTGGAAAAAAAAAAAAAGTTAATAGATTTCTGTCGGCTTTGAAGGCTGAACTGGCTCAGCTCCTGGCAAAGCGTTTGCCTGGTCATGAATGGGGATAAACATGACTCTCCTCTTTCAGCAACAAGCTGTGCTGTAACATGAAGCTGCTTCTTGTCCCTGCCTTCACTTGAACCATGCAAACAGTTTACTTGACAAATGAACTCTTGACCATAAAAAAAAGTTTATCAATAGTAACAAATTTAGGTAATAGACAATACTGAATTCAAGTGTCATTAAATTAAAAAACGTCTATTAATTGAATTGACAGCAGCCACTCTAGAAGGAGATTCTGATACTGTGAAAACCTGAGTTCATGTTCATCAACTTGAAATGTCACCTGCTAAGAACGCCAAAGAAAGTTATTTGAACATTTTACAGATATAACACTTTTAAAAATCAAATCCTATTAAAGACTTTAAGAACCCAGAAGTGTCAGTGAAATCCATAGTAAGTTAAATTTTATCTGCATATCTGAAAGGTGAAGACGTGGGCCTCCCTTTTTTGAAGTGTGAATACAGACAACAAATCAAGCCTGTACCTAGATTTTCAACTTCCCAGTTTGTGATGTCCGACTGTATTTCTTCCATGTCATCCAACTTTTGAACCTTCTTTTAATCCCTCAATATATAACAATGAATCAAAAACTGTACTTATGCAAGAAGGGTCTTAGGGCACAGAAAGACCCTCATTAGAAGGGGGAAGTAGCTCACTGACATGAGAAGCTCATTCAGGAGAGTTGTGGATATTTATTTTTTGTGAATTTCAACACGGTTGAAACAGAAAGGGTTCAAGATACTTGAAAATATCATTGAGTCCAAAATACGGCATAAGTAAACAGAAGTGTTAGAAGATGCTTCACATTTCTCAAAGCTTGCTAAAAGTCTCTCTGCAATTATATTGTTGACTGAAAAAAGATTAGAGTTTTTCCTGACAGATTGCATATCCTAACATCCTAGCTTTTCTCATTTCTTTTTCAAAGTTTCACTAAAAAAGAAAAAAAAATGCTGATGAAAGTATGAATACAGGTAAAGTTTCACAACCAATGTGAGCTAGGAGCAGTAAGCTGCACAATTGCCCATCTACTGATCCATACCCACTGTGATATATACATTACCTTCACAGCAGTATGTAAGCAAAATGTGGTGGCTTTACTCACAACAGCATAAGTTGTTATGATAACAGTAAGCCTGCAGATCTGTTAACATAGACAGACTTAGCAAATCTAGCCTGCTGAGAATCATGGCTAGCAATCTGTCAATCAAAACCCAAAATCCCTGCCACTGGTTGGGCATGTTTTGGATTGAAGTTTCACAGTTGGCTTAAGCTGACTGAACCGCTTGCTCCTGGAAGGAGGTCCTAGTTTTCTCACTGCCACCACCAGCAGCCACACACTTCTGCCTCCGCTGCCCCCATGAGCATTTGTCCTCTACTCTTGTGCTGGATTACCTGAAAACTAATCGGGGAGGGGGTTGTGCTATTTTTCAGTTGGACTGACTTGGTGATGAGACTCTGCGAAAATGCATAATCACACGTGCCAATGCAAAGAAGTCAGCAGCAACACAGGGACAGCAGCCTGATCTTTGTGAAACAACTTTACACACTAACTGGATTAAGCTAAAATTAACTAACATGTGCTACTGACTCAGTTTGTTGTGTAAGCCTACCAATCCCCATCTTTGCAAAGACGCTGTTCCATTAGATGCAGTGAACCAACTTCACAGCTCATCATCACCAGAAGATCCAGTTTTTCCACCTCCTTGCATTCAGCCCCATGTTGCTGCTTACCCTATGCTAGCTCTAAGGCTCATGAGAACTCACTTAACACATTAACTAGGCAAAAAACTATCCCAGTCGTAAAAAGCAGTCTTTGCCAGTTTAAGTGAAAGGACATGAAAACAGCCCCCCGCAAAAAAACCCAGCCAAAAAGGTAAGACTGGTCAGACAGGCAGAGAGGCAGTAAGGAAGAGGGGAGAAAGGAGAAACATCTCCTTTTACTGGCATCAAGCCGTTAAACTGACTACCTGTGAAATTTTACTTGAAGACTTTAACAAATAATCAGATATCCTATCTCTCCTCTCAAAGTTTCAATAATTCCCCCACTTTGCTCATCCATTAGCTGTTACAGATGAGCTATACCCAAACACCCCCATTTCCTTATAGTAATCCTTTAATGACATTATTTCAGATAAATTCAGAATGTTCTAGATTAAACCTCAAGAACAGTTTTAATTATACTGATCCCTCTCTGCCAAGGGATCCCTAATAATAAACAGACTTTCAACCTGCCACCGAACTGATCTATAAACACTAGAAACATTAAGTAACTAAGCAGAACAGCATATACAAATAAAAAGTATATGTAACCTATATTTGCAAAAAAATAAAGCTAAACAACAATCTGCATCACTTTCTGAATTTTGTTCCACCAAGCACTTAGTTTCATTTCTACTTTTTGAAACTACTGAAAGACAAGTTTTATTTTTTAGCACTTTAGTATTGAAATGGAGTTTCATTCTCAAATACAGAAGCTGAGCAAAACTGTACTCAGACATTCAAACAATCTTCGGCTTCTAAAATTGTGCAAATTAGCTTCATGTAGTCAGGAAATTCAAGTGTCATATGAATGAGTGTTTCAACTTAAAAAGTTACAAAGATTAAGTATTTTCATTACTGACCTATTTCACTGGGAAAGTATTCTAATATTTCAAATTTCCACTTTTTATAGGCAGCATATCGTTGATACATATCAAATATCTCTGAGGTGAACAACATGGCTTCCTGTCCTCCGATTCCAGCGGTTACTTCCATGACAAGATCACTCTTGTCTGTTTCTTCTGAAGGAATCAAAAGCAACGCTATCTGCAAATAGAAAAACACCCAGCTAAGACTTCCCCCTGACATTGCTATCCACAACTGAGATAGTATAAAATGCCAGACAAGTCTGTAATCAATCAAGGCTGCGTCCTCCTGCACTGACTCGCTGGTTGCCCAGAGGACAGGCTTCTCACGCCTCTTGCAGTGAAGAGGCAGCAGTCGGGAAGAGGTGGGGGGACACGCTGCGTTGCAGGAAGGCTCCCTGTGCCTGTTCACAGTCGCAGGAGCTACATAGGTCTCTCTCAAGACCTGTGAAACCTCACAGAGGTTTTCACCCATCAGGAGCGCTGTGACGTCTGGACACCACAGGATACACACTGGTTCTTGCAAGACAACGGAGCATCTCCCTTCCCATCAGATTTCCTTTTAACCCGGTCTCAACTGCAGAGCTAAGAAGGTATGGATGTTCAGAAGGACAGTCCTTCAACAACAACTCAGCCGTATTATTCATTTATTTATTTAAAAAGGGAGAGCCAGCCTTATACTGACCTGTAGAAGAAAGACACACTAGAACAAAAAAAACCTGTATCACAATTTTGCAAGCTGGATCAAAACTGTGGACGATTTGCAAATGCTTTTCAATCATCTTCCTTCACTAGCATCAGGTGATGTTTCTTTCCAGACTTCTCCTTCTTTTGGCAAAATTGTAAGTATTTACAAAAATATTTATAAAGTGACTGTTGTATTGTTGTCGAAGGAATAAAGACAGTGAAAATACCAGCTTCTACTTCACCAGTAACATTAAGAATATGTAACAGTTTGTTTATGTAAAGATCATTATTTTTATGTTAAGTTACATAGATACTACGTAGAACCTATGTAAGGTAGCAGTCTAAAGTAGTTACATAGTATTAAAACTATTTTTTTCAAAACCACTAGTGTGTGTGATACTACGCAAGTTTAATGTTTCCAATAGATAAAAAGCTGGACATCCATAAAGGTACACCCAGGCAAGACAAACTATAGCACCTACTTATAAAGATGCATTGATTCAAACAATTTCAGATACAAGAAGGCACTTACTTACAGGCTGTCTCTATACCATCTGCGTTTTTCATTTTCCTTAGATAACAGACACTAGTTGAGGAGTGTAATTGGCAGGGAGGGGAGGAAGAGAAGAGTTTATCGTATACATCTTATTTTGATGAGAAGACAATTTGGCTTTGTTAATTTAAGAATGGCAAGGAAATAGAGGCTCTTAAGGGGATCTAACCTGGTGTTTCAGTTCAGCTATCTCTTCTTCACAGGAGGCAATCTCTCTTTCTGCAAGCTTCCGGAAATCTTCACTCTCATCTGGAATATTTGAGCATGGTTAATCCTCAGAACTATATCAGTGCCACTCTCAGAAAACCTTCTGAAAAATAACCACATGAAGAACTTACTCTAAAAAACCAAACCAAAAAACCAAAAACCACCACACAACCCCCCCCCGCCCCAGCACACTAAACTTGTCAGAAAATGAGATTAATAATAGGATACACAGTACATATTGAGTGTTTTCTGATATTGTTCAAGACGGAAAAATCTGAAATACAAGAAGGTCCACTTACACATTGAAAAGAAAAAAAACCACAAAAAAACCCCAACCCAACCAAAAAAACAAACAGTTGCTGTGCTGGTGGTCAAACAGTGGCACAGGTTGCCCAGAGAGGTTGTGGAATCTCCATCCTTGGAGATATTCAAACCTTGACTGGACACAACCTTGAGCGACCTGCTGCAGGTGACCCTGCCTGAGCAAGGGGGTGGACTGGGCGATCTCCAGAGGTCCCTTCCCACCTCAGCCATTCTGTGATTCTAAGAAATTACTTTCTGTATTTCAACGTGACAGGAACATCAAGGATTTAAAGAGCACAGCAGCCCCACAACTGACACTCTTCATTAAAAGGACTATCACCCCTATCACTGTATGCAAAAATTTGAACATAGTAGAAATAATTTCAAGTATTTTATCTCTGTCAATTTATTCCAGAACAGCTGCAATTCTTCTAACACATCAATAAAAACAAAGGTATGGAAGAGCTCTTGCATAATAAGAGGAACTTGTAATTTTAAAGTGTTACTTGACTGATCAACACTCATGCTTTACAAGTAAGACTTGTTTTTCTGTACTACAGTTTCGATATGTTAAAGTGTTCCTTGTTTTTCTGGTCAATATCAAACTTCACACACACCCACGTAAAAAAATAAAATAAAAAAAAAAAAAATCAACATCTTAAGCAGCCTCTGATCCACACCTATTCAGCTCCCTCACCCAGAAGAAAAAAATATTACCCCAAAAAGGAGAAAATGGTACACACAATGAAAGAGGGGGAACTGGGGCAGGCACAGGGACACGTAACTGCACGCTCAGCAGCAAGAGAAAAAAAAGAAAGATGCTAGACTACTTTTTTCTGTGTACAGCAAGCTTTTAAATGCTTTCAGCTGAGACAGGAGGTGCATTCTTACAGTAAAGCCACACCTTTTCAGCACTGTAACTGCATTTAGTCACTAGCACAATTTTAAATGAAACTTTTTGACTTTACAATTTAGGTTTGATATTGGTGAATTAACCCCCCCATCACTTCTGTAAGAAGGAAATTAAAAAGATAATCATGCGTAAATTGGCTTAAGCAACAACCATGCTTTACCTACAGCTGGCTAAGAGCATGCATGGTTGACTACCTAACTGTAACTCTTTAAATATGTAAACTTGATCATCTGTAACTATCTACATTTCTTTACAATAACTACTGACTGATCAAGGGCTCGTCATTAAGGCCAACAGAAGGAAGGATTAAGAATTAAGGAATTACAAATCTATTAGAGTCAAACCAGCTACTGATAATGCAGTTATTATGCAATTAAGAAATAATCTAATATAAAAATTAATAGCAGTTGCATACTTTAAGATGCAAATGTAATACAGGCTCTAAAATCAGCTTAAAAGAATATATATAAATACTTTTAAAGATGAACTACAGAAGCGCTCAAAGTTACTGACTAAGCCCTTGTGATCACTTCACTTTGCTGAAGTTCTAAGCCCGGTTTTGATGACACTGGCTTCTTCAGCGGGTTTTGAAAGGAGAAAAAAAAAATATCTTCCATTCCATTTCATTCAGTTAATTTGGGTCAATGACTAGTTTGTTCAAAGGAACCATTTCTCCTTTTTCAGTCTGAGGTAGGAGGGAATGAATGGGGGGGGGGAATCATTTGCTTTTAGACAGCACTTGCCACATCCGTTAGTCAGAACAACTGACTACAGTTAACACTTGATTAATCAGTATTTAGCAAAGTAGTAAGTATTAAATGATCTAGGGAACATTTCGTGATCTAGCGAATGTTTACTCATCTTAAAAGTACTCCTTTCCTGCACTTTGGTTTCTAACTGCTATCAAAACCAAGTTTGATTGGGGGTAAAACCCACTATTTGGCAACACTAAAAGCGTGCAGCTACTAACACAACGCAAAGTTAAATCGCAGGGCGGAGGCAGCACGAACAGGTGCTAAAGCCTCTGGCTGCTGGAACGGGTGCAGGCAGGCGGGCCTGTCTTGACAGCGCGGAAAAAAATCCACACACAAAAAGAAAAAAAAATGAGACGTTTTCTGCCCCCGATTAATTATCTTTATTTCACATGAACAAGGTGCTATCACGCTGCTCTGCCCTCACCTATCGGCGGCTCCCAGGCCCGCGGATGAGCCCTTCCCGCTCACTCGTACCCTGACCTCCGCCCAGGAGGTTTGCCCGCCTTCGGCGACGGAAGGCCGGAGGACACGGCCCCGGCCCTCCCTAGCTGGCGGGTCTGTAACCCTCCCCGCCCCTCACCGCTCTC